TGGAAAAGTTATTTTATTGGGCAGTGTTATTGTTACTGTTTATTAATTTTTGTTGCTATCCAAATGCACTGTTGATTTTCCTGTTCATCACCGAAGACAAATTCCTTGTGTATATTTTATACTTGGTCATTAAAGTATTTGTATTGTATTGTGTTGTAATGCTGGATCAAAGAAAGAGCCAAGCCTATGTGTGATGCTCTGCTCTGCTCTGCTCTGCTCCTAAAGGCACAAAATCATTCATTGCAGAAAATACTGACTCTTCTAGATAATTAAGTAATGGTTATTAATCATTCTGTTTTAAAAAAAAAGTTAAAAGGATGATAAAAAGACTAAATCTGACACCATTAACCATTATCAAGAAACTCCCTATAATTATTTTGTGAGTAGGACCATGTGTTATTCAACGAGTTATGCATATATTTTTTAAGAAATGCAAATGCATTGTGTCATATTTGGCCTTTTATCTCTCTCTTCCCTTTTCTTTGAAGGTACCTGCTCCAGATTTGGACTTTTCTGATAAGAACACACATCGCATGTGGTGAGAGTACAGTTTCAGTTTGATATTCACTTCTATCTGATGAACTGACATGGTATAAAATGCCTATAGCTCCCTGATTTTTAAAAAAATAAAAAAGCAAAAGCAAAAACTTGTGAGATGTAGCTGTCCTTCTTGCTTTCCCTTTTTGCCTAAATATAGAAGGCTGGGCAAAGAGAGATCCAGAAGAATTCTGGGTGAATGAGCAGAGTGCTCGTATGCTTGCACTTACGTTAGATGTATGCTATACGGTTCAGGGGCTGAGGAACAGAACAAGGTTTTGAAACTTAAATCAATATTTTAAATTAGGGTGCCATAGTTTCCTCCTTTCTTTCTGTCTTTTCTCTCTTTTTAAAGCTTGGGACATCCAGAAGAAGGACCCGATTCCTTGCCTGGCCCCCTTAATATCGTTACCCTGCCTTTCACTTGTATGTCACACGCTATCACAAACCAGGACTTTGTGCAACATCTCTCTACCTTGATTGCAGAGGCCGTGGGGAATGTGCCCCTCTTTTCAATGGAAACTGAGAACACAGGAGATCCTTTGAGTGATTCCAGGGTGACAGAAACAGAAGATGGCTACTTTGAAATGGGACTTCATGAAGGATACCATGTCTCTAAACTGACTCCCACCTCAAGTAGTGTTCAGACAACTCCTAGTAGCACCCAAGCAAAACAGGATAACATAGTCAAAATCCTCTGGAGTTTTTGTATTCAGGCTCATAAAGGACTCAGGCAGTTTGCTTCCTGTTTAGTTTTGGCCAGTAATGTGATTGCAGTATTTGAAATTATTCAAGATTCCAAAGGAAATTGCCAGCACATACTTTCTGCCTTGAAACTCATACTGTGCTTTCCATACTCTGACCTTGCTGAATTTGGCTTTTTAATACCAGAAATATGTTTAATGCTGAACATAAACAATGGTGATACCTGCTTGTTTGTTGTCTCAGACACTCAGAATCTGCAAGATTTCTATTCCTGTTTATACAGGTCTTGCTCTCAGCGCTATATGCCTGCTTTAGCAGGTCCTGTACTGTATTGTGGCAAAGCCAGTTTGCAAGAATTTGTCTACCAGCTGATGGGGTTTTATCATATTTCATCTGAAAACACAGAGATAAAAGGTTGCTTCCCAGTTTACCTCTTCTGTCATAATAAAGCTGATGGTCAGAAGGTGTTATGTCTACCAGAATTGGGCAGTGATGGCAAAACCTGTTCTAAGCACTGTGGTTGTTCTGCATTTTATTCTGCATTTCACAAATCTGCTGGAGAGAGCCATTGTATGCTCCATCCCTGTTGGATATTTCTTACACCTCACCACCTTCATATAGTTAAAGTTGATTTTAATGTACTTCCAGGTAAATTAATTGACTCTGAGAATGCTAGGAACATTTTCAAACTCAACAGAATTCCATTGGCTTCTGTTCTTTTGCATCCCACATGTTATTCGGTTCAGCAAGAAGGTTCATTTTCAGATGGATATGTCTTGGAATTGATAATTGGCTACAGATTTGTCACAGCAGTATTTGTCCTACCTCATGAGAAATTCCATTTTCTGAGAATCTATAGTTTTCTGAGGACGCTTTTGCAAGACATCAAAACCATAATTATTTTCAAAGATGCCAATCATGTAGAATCAATCAGAAATTCTTTTACGGATTGTATAAAGCACGGCCCAACTGCAAGGTAAGGATATACATTTTTGAATCAATTATTCAAAACATGAGAATTAGTCAGATGTAGTGGTTAAAGGCACTGGGCTAGAAACTACAAGACTGAGTTCTAGTTTTGCCTTAGGCGCAAAGCCAGCTGACTGGCTTTGGGCCAGTCACTCTCTTTCAGCCCTAGGAAGAAGGCAGTGGCAAAATATTTGCAAAAAAAATGTCCAAAAAACTAAGAACTTATCCAGGCGGTTGCTAGGAGTCAAGCCTGACTTGAAGGTACAAATGTATTCACAACATAGAGGGATAATGAGAGCTTCCAGTTAATTGAGTCAAAACAGTAGGTGGAATATATATCTTAATGATTATTGTGACTTATATTAAGCTGTTTCAAAATGTTTCAAAAAATAGCTTTGTAAAAAGTTATAATATTTGTAAAGTTTATAAAAATGCTTTATGTTATTTAAACTGATTTTTTGAAAGCCATGCTAACCTATGAAAGAGTAATAAAATGGAATATTAGCCGTCTCGCCCTGGGTACTTCAGCCCACCCCACCAGGGCATGTTGCAGACCCCACCAGTCAAGGAATTTCGACTGGTGGGATTTAGGCAGAGGGCCTTTTCTGCTGTGGCCCTCATCCTATGGAACAATCTGCTTCCTGAAGTCTGGTATGCCCCCACTCTCATGGCCTTTAGGAAAGATATGAAATCCTGGCTATGCCAGAAGGCCTGGGAGCCAGATGGGGGCTCACATCAGTGGAAATGGCTGGTGGTGTAATTGATTTTGCCTCCCCCCGGTCATCTTGAATGTCTTTAGTATTTATGTACAGTGGGGCAAAAAAGTATTTAGTCAGCCACCAATTGTGCAAGTTCTCCCACTTAAAAAGATGAGAGAGGCCTGTAATTTTCATCATAGGTATACCTACCTACAAACAAGCAAGATGTCTGGCTCTCACAGACCTGTAACTACTTCTTTAAGAGGCTCCTCTGTCACCTACAAACAAGCAAGATGTCTGGCTCTCACAGACCTGTAACTACTTCTTTAAGAGGCTCCTCTGTCACCTACAAACAAGCAAGATGTCTGGCTCTCACAGACCTGTAACTACTTCTTTAAGAGGCTCCTCTGTCACCTACAAACAAGCAAGATGTCTGGCTCTCACAGACCTGTAACTACTTCTTTAAGAGGCTCCTCTGTCACCTACAAACAAGCAAGATGTCTGGCTCTCACAGACCTGTAACTACTTCTTTAAGAGGCTCCTCTGTCACCTACAAACAAGCAAGATGTCTGGCTCTCACAGACCTGTAACTACTTCTTTAAGAGGCTCCTCTGTCACCTACAAACAAGCAAGATGTCTGGCTCTCACAGACCTGTAACTACTTCTTTAAGAGGCTCCTCTGTCACCTACAAACAAGCAAGATGTCTGGCTCTCACAGACCTGTAACTACTTCTTTAAGAGGCTCCTCTGTCACCTACAAACAAGCAAGATGTCTGGCTCTCACAGACCTGTAACTACTTCTTTAAGAGGCTCCTCTGTCACCTACAAACAAGCAAGATGTCTGGCTCTCACAGACCTGTAACTACTTCTTTAAGAGGCTCCTCTGTCGGTATACCTATGATGAAAATTACAGGCCTCTCTCATCTTTTTAAGTGGGAGAACCTGCACAATTGGTGGCTGACTAAATACTTTTTTGCCCCACTGTATAGGATTTGGTTTATAGGGGATTTTAAGGGATTCAGTTTTTAATTATTTATGAGTTATTTTAACTGTTACAGGTTTTTGGT